ATTAGCATTTTTATCATTTATAATACCTATTTATATCTTAAAATACAATTTAAAGCATTTTTGGTTTTCAATCATAGTAGGCTATTTTCAAAAAATATCGATTTTATGTCAATATTAGCATTCTTTATCATTTATAATACCTAAATATGTTTTAAAATGCAATTTAAAGCATTTTTGGTTTTCAATCATAGTAGGCTATTTTCAAAAAATATCGATTTTATGTCAATATTAGCATTCTTAATCATTTATAATACCTAGATATGTTTTAAAATGCAATTAAAAGCATTTTTGGTTTTCAATCATAGTAGGCTATTTTCAAAAAATATCGATTTTATGTCAATATTAGCATTCTTAATCATTTCTAATACCTAGATATGTTTTAAAATGCAATTAAAAGCATTTTTGGTTTTCAATCATAGTAGGCTATTTTCAAAAAATATCGATTTTATGTCAATATTAGCATTCTTAATCATTTATAATACCCAGATATGTTTTAAAATGCAATTTAAAGCATTTTTGGTTTTCAATCATAGTAGGCTATTTTCAAAAAATATCGATTTTATGTCAATATTAGCATTCTTTATCATTTATAATACCTAGCCATTGTATAGACTTCTGGTTTTCTACATTTGATCCATGCTGCTCTATAGAAGAGCTGTATGGTTTTTGGGCAAGGTAGGAATAGCTGTTGCTTCAGAAAAAGCAAAAAACTTTCCTTTCTTACGAATTTTTCAAAACAAAAGTTCTCTGTGATTTTTATAAATTCAACTTTGGATGAATTTTTTTTTTAAAAAACTTTTAAAGAATGTTCGTTAAGCTTCAAACCTTCAAACATATCCTCAGCGAAGCTCAGCTGACTCGCTGGTTTTATACTTTCAAACTTACCAAGCTATATACCTTCAAACTTATGCTAAGCAAATCTTGGTCTATCCATAAGACTTTTGATGGCACGGTGTGAATATATCCACATTGGGTTTACCCGATACACTAATTTTCGTTTTGTGATATATATAGAAGAACTGTAATCTAACATGAGTCAAATGCGGAAGCTAGTGACTTTCTACATAAGTCGTGTTTTAACTCTTTAAGGAAGTCTTAAGGTATTCTTAGACATTGAGGAAGCATAAACAACAGCACAAAGTCTTTCGGATACACAAAAATCACAATCTGTATCTCTAAGCAATGCATAAATCCTTTTAAATCTGAACAGAAGGCTTAGATCTGATTTGTCTTGTTTGCTGCCATAAAACTTCTTCTTATTCTGCTTTCTATACTTTATCTTTGGCACCGAAATAACTTTCAACATCTGTAGCAGCTATCAAAACAATAACGTGCATTAAACATTTTTTAAAAGTCATTTGTAATAATCGACACTGTACTTGAAATCTTCATTTAGATATTACAGCATTATCTCATCTCTAGCAATTTAATTTTAATAAAGTTCAAAAAGTTTACGGAACTTTTGCAAGAACAGAGATTTTTTTTTTCAAAAAAAAATTATGAAAATGCTTTTTAATTTTATAATTAAAATAATTGAATTTTTTCTTTCGGGGTAGAATGAAATTTTTAATGAACGACTGTTGAATGAGGTTTTAAGAGCGCCCCGCAAAACTTTTTTTTTCTCAACCAAACAAAAAATGAGAGCAAAAAAAAAGTTGTGAGTTTTGAAAGCACTTGAAGAAATCACATCTTCTTTATTTCGGGATGGTATGAATTAAAATTAATATTTCGTTTTTAATGCATTTTTTAGGGGATAGGAAGCAGAGAAGGGCATTTTGTTTGATTTGTTGGCTGGGTAAGATAATTACTGACTTGAATGTTCTTAGATTGGATTTAAGGACACGATTATTAATTGTCTAGCTACTGAATAATTTGACTTTTTAATTCAAATTTCGAACTTTTTCAAATTTTGAATCAGAGTTGCGAAACAGGTCACCTGTGACAGGTGAGAACCTTTCCATTCCTTGATAATTTGTATGGTTTTGTTAGAAAAACCTTATAAATTATCAAGGAATTGTAGGGTTCTCACCTGTCACAGGTGCCTGTTTCGCAGCTCTGTTTTGAATTTTTAAAATTTATTGAACTATTAAAATTCAAAAAAAACCCATTAAAACTTATATTGTCAGAAATTTTTTAAAAAAATTCAAAATTCGCAATACCGTTATAAATTCAAAATTCGCAATACCGTTTTAGAAAGATTTCAAAGAACCGTTAAAATTTAAAAAAAAGCATTCAACATTTAAATTCCAAAATACCGTTGAACATTTAAATTCAATTGACTTTCGTTCCATAAATGCGCTGGAAATTCCCAATTAAGATCAAAAAGATTTCTTAAAATTTTTGAATGAGGCAGAAAGAGCTGTGAGGAGTAGAAAAGAGAGAACAGAGAATAAAATCCCACAATGAGACATTAAAAAATTTTTAATATCATTTACAGATTGCTTCGGAAATGTTATTTTAGAACAGCAGCTGCATTTAATTGTCGTTTAAAGTCATACACTGGCATTGAACGACGACTTTTTCCGCTTCAATTCTAATAAATTTTCTCGTCTGCTGTGAAAAAAGGCGGATTTTTTTTTGATATTCATTATAGATAAAGTTTTTCGTCTATAAATGGCCATTTTTCATTTTCTTCTCATTCCTTGCTATTGCCCACTGTTGCCTTAATTTTTTTTCGAATGTTTCAACACTTTATTCATACATTATATTTCAGAATAATAAATGATTTTGTCGACATTGATTCTTGTTTTTTTATACACATGAACAGCACATAGAGCCAGAAAGAAAAAAATATACAGTCAGAAAAACTTTTCTCACTCGACAAATCTGATGAAATTCAAAGCACAACTTTCAAACTTCAGAAAAAGTTTCGTCATAAAAAATTCCATAAACTCCACGATTGTATGGCTCTTCAGCATTCGTTTGGAGGAAGAAGTCACCAGTCAGATTTCGACTTGTGTCTATACCCATAAATGTTTGTGATGTTGTAACATTTTCCGGACAGTTTTGAGTGACGAAATCCTGCCATGTTGAACATGGAACTGAATAAAAAGTTTTTGATTTCATGTTGCGAACTGACTCTGCGAAGTACATCCATGAACGTCTGTGAGAGCAGAAATCTGGAATTTAGATCGACATTAGAAGATATGTGAGTATTCCTAGCGACAAAAAGGTTCAAGTTTATGCTTAAGTCTTGACACTGCCACCCAGGGGCGTAGCCAGGGGGGGCCATAGGGGGCCCAGGCCCCCCCACCCCTACGAAAATCTGATAATTGTTTTATTAAGTATTTATGGAGAAGAACCAGTTAATGTAGAGGAAGTGATGAAAGAAATGTCAAAATCAGCACGAAAAATTAAATTTAATGTATGAATAATGATAATCGAAATTAATTTTCGAAAATGGGCCCCCCCCCCCCTTAAAAGTTTTCTGGCTACGCCCCTGCTGCCACCGCATTAACTTTGTGTCGCTTGAGATTAAGCCTGATTCAGCATTAAGGCTTGAGTTCCTCACTTTCTTCACTATTATAATCTAAATTAGGTCTCGGACATCCAGGCTGATTCTTCCCCCCATTCGGCCAAAAGTCAACAGTTCCACTCTTTTCAGCTGCTCCAAAGAACGTCGAGTCTGTGTGAATCACTTGAACAATCTTCGCATCATCCTTATTTAATGGTTTGTTTATGATTGCATGAACACCGTACAGCAATGGACCAGCTGTGAAATAGAAAAAGCTTCTATCGGAATATTTTCATAGCATTGAGATTTGTTTACCTGGATCAAGTGCTATTATTATAGGCATTTTGTAGGAATTTGAGGAATATTTGTAGACTGCTCGACCGATGTAGCCAATAAGTTGACCACCTAAGCTATGGCTGTAAATTGAGAGGATTGTGACTTTTTAGGAAGGTTGAGATTTAACTGGTTGTGCATTGATTATGTCCATTTAAATGAGTTATTACCTTCTTTGAAGCTTATTGCTTCAGATCTGAGACAGTATTATGGTTCAATGATTCTAGGAAATGAGCATACAACAGTACCAAGGCATTAATCTACTCTAGTTTTAATAGGACTAAGAACCATGGACTATTTTCCTTTTAAAACACTTTGCAGCACTTCACTGCACAATTTTGAGGGTTCCTATGCCTTTGAGTAAGACAATAAGATTCTATTAGTGCCCTAGTACTGTTTCATGCTTGCTTCCTAGAATCATTGTACTTCTGGTAGCTAATACTGAACTGGATCTGAATCAACAAGTGAGGAAAAGCTTAAAACTCACTTTGATGAACATCATTAATGAACGAACCCCATCCCTTACCCCAAAAGCTGAAAATTATCCAAATTAAATCCAATTCCATTCATTTTCCACAACTGCTTTCCGACTTCATCTCCAACATTTCTAGCATTTGGTATAGCTTCAAAGTAATAATTGCCTCCTGAATATTTCGACCATTCAATAACGACAATGTTATGATTTCCACGCTGTATGTATGCATTCACAATAGTCTGAGTGCTCTTCCGAAGATAATTTTCGGTGAATCCATAACCATAAATAATCGTTGTTCTGTCATTGTCATAATTTGGATGTGAAAGGAGTTGGGATGTTTGATTGAAGTAAAATGGCTCAAATTCTGTTGTGTCATTCCTAGAAAAATGAAGCTATAAATGCTACAGCCATAAAAAGTGGTCGAGTAGACAAAAACCCATAAACGAAGAGAAGCTGCAAATCCTGATATTTTGAACTCTGTGCAGCACAGAACACAATATCCAGCGATAGAATTAAAAAGAATTTAAACTTAAATGCGCACATGATTCACAAAGCAGCACTACTGTTGAGGTTTATTGTATATGCAAGTACATTTGACATTATCAGGTGAGGCAAATTATGCCTTAAATGACACAAATGGGTTGAATTTGTAATCAATTTAAAAACTTATTGTCCATAATTGCCATTTAATAATATTGATGATAAACTTTTCTAATTAATAACATTTAATGACAATTATTATGGCTCATTTTGACGGTCAATATCAACCAATGGTGAATAAAGCATGCCAAATACCCCACGTGAATATGGATAATCATTGTTTGTTTGTAAATAGTAAATTCCCGAGCAATTTTCACTTGCATAAAAGCCCATAAAGCTTGTAAGGTTATCAGTACAATTTAAGTTTTTAAAGCTTTTGTAGTCATCGCATATGATGGCATTGAATTTAGGTTCTATTGATGCAACACTTTCAGCATAATACATCCAACTTCGTTTATGATCGCAATTAATTATTGAATTGACAGCACATCCTGGTTGAAAAGTTCCACCATTCGGCCAAAAGTCACAATTTCCAACGGATATACTGCTTCCTAGAACTCCTGCATTTGTGTGAATTATGTCGACTAGCTGGAAAAGTTGAATACGATTTAAAAGGAGAGTACGGGGGATGTAAGTTAAAAAATTTTAATGCGCAGTACTGCACCATATAGTGCGCAGGACTGCGCATGTAAAATTTGCTTAATTATAGGGGCCGTTCACTTATTACGTTACGCAAAAAAAACGACTTCCCCCCTTGTTACAATATGTTACAACTCACACCCCCCCCCCCCCCCCCCCCAGTAAAAAGGTGAAAAATTTAAAAAAATGTTTTTGGTGTGAATTTTTTAACAATTTTTTTATGTTACATACTTTTTGACACCCCCCCCCCCCCCCCCCCTATGTTACATTTTGTTACAATTTTTCAACCCCCCCCCCCCTCGCTTCTAAAATGCGAACGTAATAAGTGAACGGCCCCATAATAGAAAACGAATATTTTGGACCTTCATACCTCAGCATCATCTTTGTGTATATAAGAGATTATAGCAGTCCTATTAATATAAAACAATGGCTTTGCCGGATCTAATGCTGTAATTCTTTTGACTTTTCTAGATCCACGTGACAATAGATTCACCATTTTTCCAATATATCCTGACATTTGTCCACCAAGTGAATGACCTAAGACGTAAAGTCATAAATTAATTGCATCAACAGAATTTCCAAATGTTTACCTACAATATGCAGCCTTTTCTCATCAATTATGCCATGTTCTATCCATAGATTTAAACTATATCCAATGCGATTTCCAAGCTAGCAGAAATTACATGAGAATCAATTGAGAATGACTAACAATAGGAACAATTGCAAAACTTACACCGATAACACTCGGAACTGCATGAGCAACATAACTTCCAGATGAGTAATTAGACCAGTCAAGTGCGAAAATATTATGATCATTTCTTGATAAATATGCAGACACGACCATTTGCACACTATCTGCTAATACGCTTTCTCTAAATCCATGAATGTATAAAACAGTCGATTTATTGAAATCAAAAGCTGGATGTAATATGACATCCTCAAAGTCTTGAATTGCAAAGTATTCTGTGTAATATTCTTGGCTAATGAGAAGGAATAATGCTTAATTAAAATTGACTGGATGTTTTGAATGTGCTTCAGAACCACACAACAGTTTAAAAAATTATAACATTTGTATGGTTTTGATATTTAAATTTGAAATAACCGTTAAAAATATTACCCAAAGAAAAACGCAATAGTTGCTTTCGGATAGAATGGTTCACATTTATGCTGTCCAAAAAATACTACAGAGACTTAATAGAGCTGATTAGTAAAAAAGAAAAATCAAAAACTTTATCAAATAACTCACCAAAGGCAACCAATATGACTAAAAACCTCATCGTATCCAAAACACAGCACAACTGGAATTTTTATATTCTACACAATAACTCAACTGTCTATTCTGATATATTTATAGGTTTACGATGATTGTCAAAATAAAATAAATATATTCAGTGATAAATTTCCTGCTGTGCACAAATTTGATTTTAAATGCATTTAAATTTACTTTTAGTCACTAAAGAGCTCTCGTTCAGTCACGTGGTGTTGTCGTTACAGTATTATTTGAATCTATGGCATTTTTCTCCAGCCTACAATCACTTACTATGGATTCTTATCAGCCTTTTGTTTTGTATAGACAGTTTTGCAATTCCACTGTATCTCGAGCTGTATCAAGATGTCATTAAGTCGTGATGAAATTTTACTATTATTTGACATAGATAACACTTTAACGTTACCTAGAGAAGCTATCTGTGATAAGTTTGAGTCGTTCTTGTTGACAAAAATCAAGCCATTGGCTACATTGGGGATTGTGACTGGTGCTGATCTCGAGAAAATCTATCAACAGATGAATGGGAAGCAGGTTCTTAAGGAATTTGAGTTTGTTTTTCCAGAAAACGGAATTGTTCATATTGAGAATGGCTGTGAGGTCCAAAAGTCATCATTTAGCGAGAAGCTAGGTGAGGAAGTGCTGACTGACTTCATCAATTTCACTCTTCGTTATATTGCTGATTTAAAGCTTCCATTTAAAAGAGGAACTTTTATTGAGTATAGAAATGGAATGATGAATATAGCACCAACAGGTAGACAATGCTCAAAAGAGGAACGAAAGATATTCCATGAATATGACAATCAACATCAAGTCCGGACGAACATGATTAGAGATTTGAAAGAAAAGTTTATTGATCTTGACCTTGAGTATGCGATTGGAGGACAAATTAGTTTTGATGTCTATCCAAAAGGCTGGAATAAATCATTTTGCCTTTCACGACTTCCAAGTGATAAATTTAAAGAAATTCACTTTTTTGGTGATCAGACGAAGCCCGGTGGAAATGATTATGAGATTTATGAGCATCCAATGACAATTGGTCATCATGTGAATAGCTACAAAGATACTGAAAGAATTTTGAAGGAAATGTTCCAATTAGACTGATTTAGGTTTAAGCTTGAAAAACATTTGAAGGGTTTTAATGGTAGTTGTAAACCATACAACAGCTAATACAATTCAAATTTTTCTAGAACCGTATCAAATGAAAACAATACAAATTCAATTCCAAAACCTTTCAATAGTCAACTCAAAACATTTGTAAGGTTTTTCGGGTTTTTCACAAAAATCATTCCAAAAAGTTCAATTTTTATAAAACTGTATTCTGTATTTTTTTTGCAAACAATTTTTTTAAAAAAAAAATAAAATCATAAAATTCTTGTTATCAATTACTTATTATCCTTGAATTTATCCTGCATAGATTGAAGTGAGCGCTTCATTCCACGAAATTGTTCTTCGCATTTATTTAAATATTGATCGAAAGATTTCGATTCAACTCTAGTCTTTGTTGTATTTTCTCGAGAGTTGTTGACAATGTCAGTAGCTTTTTTAAGTGAATCCAATCCTTTTTTAAGAACTGACTGCATCTCATTTTTATCGATTTTTTGCATGAGTTTTGGCTTTTTGTTTGACGGTTCATTTTGATTCTCATCCGTGACAGTCAAGCCGATTAAATACCACCAAGGAATCATATAATTTTGCATGTCCTTTTTCGAGTAGATTATAAATTTAGGCAAGTTTGAGTGCTTCTGTTGATAAACTTCATTAAACTTTCCAACAACAATTGACTCGAAAATTTTCAGCCATCGCATTTTATCAATTGCATTGTCAATCTTTTCACTTGATTTTAATTGCATTAAATAGAAATTTTGGACAATTTTATCCAGAACAGCATGATAAACTTGCATTTTGAAAGTCGACGATATATTTATATCCAAAAATTTTAGTAATTTCTCTTGAAAATCCTTAAAATTTTTAAACTTGTCATTTTGCATTTTAATTAACTTCAAATCATGCAAAAATGAGATTAAACTTTTCTGTTGTAGCAGTTGCTTCCAATTCGCTGGGAAATACTCAAAGCTATGAGGAATACGAACTTCCATATTTGGCAGTGATGTTCTAAATTCTTCTGGTAATGTCGGCAAGTTCTTGTAATTTGTAGAAATAATTCCAATAATTGTATCAATGCATGAATTGTAGATTTGAATGACATTATTAAATGAAGACATTCTGTTGCTAAAGTCCTTACTGTCTCGACATGAAAATTCAATTTTATGCCACATTTCATCACCAAAATAGAATTGGAAAAAGTCCAGTAAATGCTGCATTTCCAAATCATATAAATCCGAATATTCCGTACTAAGCTGCTGTGAGTAATTATCATACAAAAATTGACAGCCTTCAATCAGCACCTGCCTCAAATCCTTCGACTTTTCTCGACACTCATAAAATAAATTTACCTCGAAATTCTTCACTTTCGGTTCCATTGACAAGTCGAAATATTTCTGTATCATAATCTCGTCGGTACTTTCAATAACATTCTTATAGATGATTATGCTGACTGACACGGAATTATTGACTTTATCGAGAATATTATTTAGTCGTCTTCGTGACTCATTCAGATTTGCTGTCGTACAAAAAAAGACGAGACTATTTGTGTTTTCAATGACATTTGATTGCCTTTCCATTTGTTCATCGAGGCATTCAATACCTTGAATTTTCCTTACACAAATTGATACTTTTGAATGATGGACGACACTGTGCTTAAGTAGAAAGATATTTCCATCCTCATGAGCATTAAAAATCTTCTTTAAATACTTTTTGATGAAGCACGAAAATCCAACTGATTTTTCCTCATTCTTTAGTGGAATCGAAACAACTATTTTCCAAAATAACTTGCTAGGCAGCTTCTTCAAAGGAATATCCAAGTCAGTAAACAAATTAATTGGATTATAAGTGTCTAAATTTGGTACAATGACTTGTTGTGGACTTCCAGTTAGATACTGCTTCATATTTGATAGTGTTGCATTCTGTTGTGGATGAAGGATTGAGTTTGCATGATCTTCTAGCGACTTATTTAAGGATGTACATCCAATATTTGACAATTTTTCACGTCGCTGCTTTTCCTTAAATGAAATTTTTCTCCAATGATCAAAGTTCCTATATAATGCGTCGTACTTCCTTTTTGTTGAATTGTAATAGCATAAAAGTTCCTGTCTTGAGATTTGAATAAGCTCTTCCACAACAATGTCAAATTCCATTGCATCATAAAAGTCATTTGGAATTTTGACATAAAGGATGTCAGCCATTGTCGCTTCTGTTTTTACTTTTGATGTCACAAGTTCATCCAGTAAGGAATTTAAGATCTTTTCTGCATCTTCTTGTAGTTTATTCTGCTTTTGTTTTTCGATTTCTCGCTTGCGTCGTTCCTCCTCTTGTCTCTTTTGCCTTTCCATTCTTTCATGTGCTTCACGCTTTTCATGTTCATGTTTAGCCTTTTCAGCTAGTTTCTTCCTTAATATCATTTCTGCGACTTCATTTTCCTTTCGAATTCGTTCAGCTTCGATTCTATGCTTGTCATCTCTAATGACTGCTTCTTGGTCTGAAGTTAATCCACTTGAAGAATTTGAGTTTGTACTGTATGGTGATCCGCTTGTTGTTGATCTGGGTGATTCCTCCATAGCTATTGGCTTAGCGAACATGTATGGATCAATTGTTGGAATCTTGACTGTTTCAGCTGAAGTAGTCTTGAACATATCTATATTTTTACCTGAAGAGGTTCCAAAAATATTTGAAATTTTCATGTTTGTGTTCGGAGTATTTGTAAATTCTGTTCCAAATATATTTGGTGAATTAAAGACATTCGCTTTTGGTTTAGGGATGTTAGCTATTCCAAATGGATTGTCATAATTTGTGGATTTAGCTGTTTTTGTGAAAGGAACAGTTCCGAAAATCCCAGAATCGATTTGGTCATTTTTAAAAACATTTTTCTGCTGAACACTTCCTGAATTCCAAAGTTTAGCAGCTGGAGACACAGGAGGTGATTCTTTTGGGACTTTAAAAAGACTATCTTTATTTATTGATGTGCCATTCTGGTCTTCAGCATAATATGCTTCCTTTTTCAAATATCCAATATCGTCAAAACTACTGTGTGGTTTGATTTTAAGAAAGCAACTAGGCGATGGTAAGTCTCCGCCACAAATTGCTTCAGCTATTGTCCCATCCAATTTACATTCAACTGTCTCTAATGCTCGTTCCATTTGATAAGGTACTGTGACATTTGCGAATGTTCCTGGATCTAAATTCACTATGTCAGCATCAAGTTCACAAAGTCCTCCATAATAGCTCATAAAATTGGCAGTTGATTCATAATTCTCAAAATTTAATATTTCTGTTAGGTATGACAGATTGAATGAGATTTTAGCGCCTCTCCTTTGTGTATATGCACGCATAATTGTGAAAATTGCTCTCAATCGAATTTGTGTGAAATATTTAAGTAATATACAGCTATTCATATATGATGCTTCCCTTACAAGATTGAAGAATTTAACATAGTTGTTTAGAGCAACAGCAAAGTAGACATCCAGAGCAAATCTCACTTCCTGTGAGTTCAAAATATCCTTTTCAAGTCTCTTAATTTCCCATAAAAAGTTTCCGGATTCATTTAAATTTAAAAGAACGACGTAGGCTCGGAATTCAGCTTCATTCGGACATTTTATGTTCTTAGCCTTTAGATCATCGTACATGTACTTTAACGTTTGCAGGGATTTTGTTAAATTCTCGTCGTTAATTTTCTCAGAAAAAATTCCTGGATCTTCAGCAATTAAACGTGCAGAACAATGAATATGGAACCTCGCACATTGTTCTAATAATTCTACAGTCGTTAATGAGCACAATTCTTGTTGAGTTATATCCTTTCTAATTCCTCTAGTTCTATCCCATACAAAATGATACCAATCTCCAACAGAAACATCCTCATCGTCACAAAGATTAATAATATTATGCAGTAAATATGTCATTGTAGTTTTAAGCACTTCCTCAGATCGTAACTCATGTGGCAATGGAATTTCTTGATCAGCTGAACTTCTTGAATATTGTTTAATTGCTTTATTGGGATCCATTGTGTTAGTCTCATCATTTAATTCAAATGAAGCTACTTGAAGTCTTGCTACACGCATTAATCTCTCTTTTTCAGGACACATATCTTTGCAAGTTCCTCTTGTGCTTGTTACACTCTTTATATCTGATGGTTTTGCATTGATGACTCTGTACAATTTGTCTCTAACGTCCAGAATTGCAAATCTAGGTAATAATTGGATATATTAGAAACGAGTGCCTTTTATAATAACAAAATTTTTGGAAGTCGGAATTGGAAACCCTGTAAGATGTGATGTAGCATTTTACTTACTTTTCTTCAGCTGTAACTGCTGGTTTCCGTGTCAAATTGTCTAATTCCATTTTTGCATTCTGTATTAATCGTGGATCGCTGTGAACAGCTACTGATATAGGCTCAGTTTTATGTTTTGGTGATTGGAGGAACATCTTTGACTTGAATGGATGTTTCATTAAACTCTCAACGCCTTTAAATAAAAGATTATTTAATAAACTTTTCAGGTAAACAAAAAGTAATTAATATCTTACTTGGTTTAGATGTTTTCATGCTAGATGGAAGCATTGCCTGAAGTTCTGTCTGAACATCTGGATCTATATAGTCATCACTCACTTTTAAGTACTCTGGCTTTGTTGGAACAACATCAAAATCAACATCTGCATTTAATGCCTTCATTGCATCCTCAACAAAATGATATTCTATCGTGCATTCAGCACGTTTTGGTTTCAAAATAAATGATTTAATACTTCCATATTGACTGAAGAACTTCTTAGTCTCTTGCTTGTCTAAAATGAACAGATCAGGAAGTTTGAAGCATGTTATGCTTTTATTTTCAGCTGGAATGTCCCCTTCCATGCGATTATGGTAATAATAACTGCTTAATTATAGTAGAAAACTTAAATTACGAAAATTGCGGCAATTTTATTCTTGTGATTTACAAAATTCTTTCACTCGCCCTGTTTGACAGGGAATGATTAAATGTTACGGAACGTAATTAATCAATAGAGAGAATTCCGAGATTTTATGGCAAAATTAAGAAATTGTGAAGTTCTTTAATAAGAGAACGGATCCTAAAAATTCACGCAGTTTCTTCCCTGCAACATTTTTGCGGACCAAAACAGTTAATCGGACCCTAGTTGGCATGAAAATTTTTCTAAACTCTTGATTTAAAAATTGATTACTGGATTAATTAAAGCGATTCTACTATCAATTATAATCACATATTATAATTAAGACATTTGTTCATGCAAATAAAGTATTTCTGTAAGTATAAGTGCTGAGTAAAGGAGTATTATTTTGTTAAAAGTTTCTTTTGAAAAAATATAAAAGTTGAGAGTTCGATATTAAGAAAATAATGGCGGATCAGCAAAAAGCAGATGATTCATTATATCCAATTGCCGTTTTAATCGATGAATTAAAGAATGAAGACATCCAAGTGAGTTATTATTATATTTATTAAGTGTCTGTGAACAGCTTAATTAGCTTATTGACGTTAAACAATCGATTTTGACTATTAATAATTATATTTTCCGTTTAAACTTCCAGCTTCGATTAAACTCTATCAAAAAATTGTCAACAATCGCTTTGGCTTTAGGCGAGGAACGCACGAGAACTGAGCTTGTTCCTTTCTTGACAGAAACAATCTACGATGAAGATGAAGTTTTATTGGCACTTGCAGAACAGCTTGGAACCTTTACACGTAAATTTTATATTTCATGCAGGCACGAAATCATCCAGAAACTAATATTTTAAATTGCCAAATTCCTTTAGATCTTGTTGGAGGTCCAGATTATGCTATGTATCTTATTCCACCATTGGAAAGTTTAGCTACTGTTGAAGAAACTGTCGTACGTGATAAAGCAGTGGAATCTCTGCGCAATGTTGCCGCTCAACACAGTGCTCATGACTTGGAAGTTCATGTTATTCCGACATTACAGCGTCTTGTGTCTGGCGAATGGTTTACATCAAGAACATCAGCTTGTGGATTGTTTTCAGTCTGTTATCCACGAGTTCCAGCATCTGTGAAAGCAGAACTTCGTAATCTATTTAGACAACTTTGTCAGGATGAGACTCCAATGGTTCGAAGAGCCGCAGCTGGAAAATTGGGAGAATTTGCCAAAGTTGTTGAAGTTGAATTCTTAAAATCTGATTTAATACCAATGTTTGTTCAACTCGCCCAAGATGATCAAGATTCTGTTCGTTTACTCGCCGTCGAAGCCTGCGTTAGCATTGCTCAGCTTTTGCAACAAGAGGATGTCGAAACTGTAAGTCATTAATACTCATTTGTTTAGCATTCAATTGTTAATTAAATACTATTTTCCTTCAGTTGGTTATGCCGACACTTCGTCAATGCGCTAGTGACTCATCATGGAGAGTTCGTTACGTTGTTGCCGAAAAATTTGTGGACTTACAGAAAGCAGTTGGACCAGAAATCACAAAAACTGATCTTGTTCCTGCTTTTCAATATTTACTGAAAGATACAGAAGCAGAAGTTCGAGCATCAGCAGCAACAAAGGTCAAAGACTTTTGTGCTAATTTAGATCCAACAAATCGAGAACAAATCATCATGACTTCAATTTTGCCATATATCAAGGAACTCGTTTCGGATGCAAATCAACATGTCAAATCAGCATTAGCGTCGGTAATTATGGGCTTAAGTCCAATTTTCGGACGACAGAATACAATTGAGCATTTACTTCCCCTATTCTTGACTCAATTAACTGACGAGTGGCCTGAAGTACGTCTCAATATTATATCAACATTGGATTGCATCAATGACGTTATTGGCATTCAACAACTCTCTCAATCTCTTTTGCCTGCAATCGTTGAATTAGCAGAGGACTCAAAATGGCGTGTTCGTTTAGCTATTATTGAATACATGCCTCTTTTGGCTGGACAATTAGGACAGGACTATTTCAATCAAAAATTACGAGATTTATGCTTTAACTGGTTAAATGATCACGTTTATGCAATTCGCGAAGCAGCCACACTCAACATGAAGAAAATCGTTCAGACATTCGGTACACAATGGGCAGAAACAAACATTATTCCACAGATATTGGTCATGTACAAGAATAACAACTATTTGCATCGTAAGTATCGCAATTTTTAAGTAGTAAAAAGATCGGATTTATATTGAATCCAACGATTAATCTACGACAGTTATTAGCGCATTTTTGAAATTTGTTTCTAAAAGGTAGCTTAATAATCAACCAGACATCGTAGAGAGCTCTGGTTTGTTTTAATAGCTCAGTTCACCTTTTATGGAAATTCATTGCAACCATAAACCCTTTATAGAAATTCATTGCAACAAATCTTCTAATTTTCTAATGATCTGTAAATGAACGCAAAATAATCAGATAATCACATACTGATCGCTGCTTCAAAAATGCGATTAAGCCCCTCAATCAATAACACGAGAACTTTTGTAAAAAATTTTTAAATACTTTATTTTTTACTTTACAGGAATGACATGCTTGTTCTGTATTAACGCCCTTGCCGACGTCGTCGGTGCTGATGTCATAAAGAGATTATTTTTGCCAACCATCAAAACACTCGCAGCAGATCCAGTAGCAAATGTTCGATTTAATGTCGCTAAGACACTTTCAAAGGTCAGTCCATTCTTGGATCAAGCAACAACAGAAAGCGAAATAAAACCAATCCTCGAACAATTGAACTCCGATTCAGATGTAGACGTAAAATACTTTGCAGCCGAGGCGATTTCAACTATTGCAGCGAGTGCTTAAAGGAAATCACATTTCTAATATATTCGCGCGCAAGTAGATTATTAATGTTTTACATGTTGAAAAAAAAATTAATTATGATGATCATAAAAGAATGGAAGAATGAAGAAAGTTCAGAGAAAAAGTAATTCAACAGGAAAATATCCATCTTTTTAGTAAGGAAACAAAAATAATAAATAACAAATAATAATTTAATTTTCACCAGCTGCACTTTTTGGGGATTGAAAATTACTGAAAGTTAAAAAAATTGTGAAAAGGAAGAAGATTTTTTGAAAAAATTGGTTAATTTATTTCGATTGAAAATGAGAATTAAATCCACATACACATATAATTTCCCAAAAATGCATTGATAAATCAAGCATTACAGTTAATAAATTTCATTGAAAACAAAACTAAGGAAAAAGCTTAATATCTTTAATAAAAATTACTATAAATTAAAATTCTTATTTCATTTCACTGTTCGATTCGTCAATTTCGCCTTCTGACAAGTCACTAGATACATCGTCAAGTTGCTTACTTGTATTAGCCATGTCTGAAAGTTCAGGTGATGATATCGGTTCCATTATATTATCAAAAGAGTCTGCTGGCTTAACCACAATTGTCTCTTCATAATTTTCCTCGTCTTGCTGTCTAGTTCCACTGTATCTTGAACTACTTTGCATGCTTTTTGATCCATCAGAATCAGAATCGTCAGAACTTCCTTCATCCAGTGATGAACTGCTTATATCGGAAGCATCAGACACAATATTAATTCTCTTTTGATACTGTTTCGGTACTCTAGCTTCTGAATCTGCTGATTTATTTTTTGTATTTTCAAATGAGTCCATTGAGTTCTCATTGCTATCATTTTCTTTCGGTTTCTGTACTTTTTGTCGCTTCAAGCTATTTGCAATCACACGTTTTTGATGATCAAGTTGTGGGAAGAGATTTTTGGAATTTTCTAATGCCTTCTTTGCTGCATTCATCTCTGCCTGCTGAATAGAGTGTCCTGTTGCACTGGCTGCAAATTAATTAATGAATATTAATTTATAATTTTTACAAATAACGGCGATTCAAAATTTGAACACAAAACCATACAACAGTTTCAAAATTCAAATTTCATTCGACAGTTAGAATTTAAAAATATTTTATCCGTTAAAAAATCTTACCTAATCTCTTATCACGGAAGTATACAGCAACTTTGTATATTCTCGTATTTGTTGGTCCTGTTGATTCAACAACCTTATAATAAGGAATGTCAGGTTCATTGCCATCCATAGTTCTTAATGTTAAGCAACATTGTTGGAGTTTCGATTTGGGATCATTCCAATCTTGATTCATAATGAAGTCCTGCAATCTTGGAAATAGACATACTTGACAAAATCTCTCACAAAAAATCAAATCCTTATCAACATAAAGTGCACCCAAAAATGCCTCAAGTAAATCAGCACGATCTTTTGTTTTTAATTCAGCTTTCGGATTTGAATAAACTGCATATTTTGTCATTCCGAGGTCGTCACATACGACAGCTTGAGTTTTATTATTTACGAGTGAACTTCGTAGCAATGATAAATGACCTTCATGATGCTCAGGGAAATGTCGATAGAGAAATTCAGAGCAAATTAATTGTAAAACTGTATCGCCTAGAAATTCAAGACGTTGATTAGATCCAAGTGTCAGATTCGTATATCCAATTGATCGATCTGTAAATGCTCTGGCTAATAATCTTATATGAGTAAATTCAACTCCAATTGCTTCCTCAAAAATACTCAAATTTTTCAACAAATCAAATTTATCAATATATTGTCGATCACCATTCGGTTCTTGTGCTTGCAATGGATGTAATGGATAGTCATCCCATATATCCTTCAATGTTGGATCATCCATTAAAGCAATCGAGAATACTTTATCAGCAATTTTTATATCTCCATCTAAAAGCAATGCACCCATTAATGCCTCAAAGCAATTTGCCATTGCATGTCGTAGTTCCAATTCATGACATAAATCACTGCCGTGAGCAAACAACATAAAATTTTCCAAACCAAATCGCTTTGCAAGAATAGATAAATGTTGATTTTGAACGATTGCAGCACGATAAGTCGCTAAACCTCCTTCTTCTAGGTCAGGAAACAGATGGAATAAATGAATCGATGTTATGAACTCAACAACAGCATCTCCAAGAAATTCAAGTCTCTCATTGTGCGTTATGTTGCTCTGTTCCTCATGTTCTTTACCAAAACGTGACATAATGTTAATTAATGTGTTTATGCCTCTCTTTCTTGTATTCATGTAATGAATCTTCTTATCTCCATATTCTGGCTGTCGAATTCCACAATTTGTTAAAGAATTTCTTGCATGGTCAGGATTAGTTCCGAAATTTTCCTTATAACTTGGATGAGTTAATGCCAGTTGAAGAAGATATCGATTAGTAAATTTATAATTAATCTTAGTTTCAAGACTTTCCAGTGATCGATGGAAACGTAAATGTGTTGTCAAAACTGGCAGAAGCATTGCATGTTGTACAATATCGCACATTATGCCTGTTCGAAAGAAATTTTTTGATGATATTGCAACCGTGACATTACGTTTCATTCTTCCTTGAGTTCTCATTTCCTGTAATCGATTTTCCTTCGCTTCCAATTTCCGTTTGTCTTCAAATGATGGCTTAGACATGTTTGCAATCAAATGTCGAAACTTAACGTACTCTCGCCATGCTATTGCAATTAATGAAGCCGTTACAAAAATAATTTAAATTTCAGAACAGTTAAATTATAAAGTTCAAAATTCAAAATTTTAGGGATCAGTTAAATTTTGAAGCTCAATATTTGAATTTTTGAAAACAGTTAAATTTTAAATATGGGGTAAAAGCCTTAAAAAGCATTTATTCTCACCTTTCTGATACTCTGGATTTCCCGCATAACTCAGTTGTGGGGGACGAATTCCAAAATGAACGATGGCTGGAAAATTGATGCCTGTTTCGTCAGTACAAGCTGGAATGTCTTCTGTAGAACGATCAAGCTGATCTACTCGAACTGATGAAGGCACAGACGATGGATTTGTGACTAGCATTCCCTTTACTGCAATTAAAAATTGATTATTATCTGAATTTAAAATAGTATAAAAATCTTTTACCTGTATCTACAAAATCCTGCCACTCAAACTGACCCATCTTATCTTTTTCTTTAAGAATCTTTTGATCAACTAAAGGACCTGAATTATCTAATAAATATCGCAACACATGAGACATTGCTAAAACCTCTTTTCCATTATCAGGCAGTTCTCGAACAAAGCGTGGATAGAAATGATAACAATCACATGCGGCATCTTTGTCTCCAGCAAGTGAAGGTTTCAAGGAAAAGTCATACAGCTCCAAAAGTTCAACAAATAAGAAATTGACTGGAAGTAAAATAACATTTAGCATGGAGCAACAAATAAAAATCGTTCAGTAACTTACAGAATAAATCAAGTTCTTGAATAGTGAAATTTTCAGGCATTTTTTCTTCCACATAAAGTATTGTATACTCAATATTAAATCTAATGACTTTACAGGTTGGCAACAGCTCGCTATCTAATGGCTCATGAGTTAATAAAGAAAATCCTTCAAAAATAAACTCATGCTCGTCATATTTAATAATTGTAGGCGTTTTAGTAAGGAAGTTTGTAGGTGGCGTTATAGTTATTCGATAATGGTAAAGCTTTTCAGCATTATTAAGGTTTGGTTCACATTTTTTAAAGCCTCCTTCGCCTTTATAAATGCCATGACGAATTCCACTTCTTTTAGACTTTGCTGAGCATCTGCATAATGGTCCATCATTCATTTCTCCACGCTCATTATGCCATAAATCTGGATGTAATCGATATGGATGCTGTGTCTTTCTTGACAATTCTTCCATTGTCCTGTCTTCTTCTATTTCGTCGTCTGATGATTCTGATGATGAACATACTTCAGATTTATGTTTGCATGCTCTCATTCGACGTTTTCTATCTGGTGGATTATAAGGAGGATTTGTTGCTCGAATCCTTTTGCCTCTTTGAAGTAGTTGCTCATCAAATAGTTTGCATAAAGCTTCTAATCGTGGAGTTGCTTCAACAAGATTGTCCTTTATTTTCTTATAATAAATTTCTGCTGGCGAGGATCTTATCCATGTATTTTCTTCTACTTCATTAGCCATTTCCATCAACTTTTTTGTGATTTCTTCGGATGTCTCGCAATAGTTTTTACGCCATTTCTCAAGAAGAGTTTCAGTTTTTCCTTCTTTGGGACGGCTTTTAGAATTTTCATGTGAATCATAAGGTTTTTTATTGGATGGTGATCTACGTGATGATGAGCGGTATGGAGATTTTCTAGATGATTCTCTAGACCGGCTATAACGATCTTTAGATCTACTTCTTCTATGTCTGTCACTTCTATCTCTCGAACGGCTTCTTGATTTTCTGTAATTCCTGTCATTTCTAGAATAGTTTGAATATGTTGATCGATGTCGATAGTCTCTATTTGTAGATCTGGATGAGGATTCTCTGTTTAAAGGCTCTCGATTTCTTGAATCATAATTTTTGTCTCTACTTCTTACATTTTTATCCTCAGTCTGTTCCATGCTTCTTGGTCTTTTACGATCATTATAGCTTTTACTTCTTGACTGGCTTCTTCGCTCAGGAGAACGTGAATGATCGCGTGATTTCTTGTATTTACTATCCATTGCCGCAAATTAGAATAAACTTTTGTTGTTCTTGAATTATTTTTACTATTAAAGTTGATTTGTGCTGCTCAACTTGATTAATTGATATATCTTGCTTCTCTCTTCACTTAGTATTCTTCTTTAATGCTCTTAAGGACATATTTACGCTGTAATTTAATTAAATGTTCGGGATAATTATCAATAACAAATAGGGTCGACGACTGTTGTGATGAAACTTTTGAATTAAAATCGAACGTTAATTGTATTTATCATAAAATCCATAAAATCTATAATTTGAAGTTTATTGGTGATGAGGTGAGATTCATTGTGTAACTTGATATATTCATTAATGAAAGGATCAGGTAAATGAAACTAAGGGACCATTTTTCATAGAGAATTTTAAAGAATGCTGAAAATTGAATTTTGAGTCGTAGGGTTAGTGCTGATTGTGCAATTTTTTATATTTATTTTGACAGTTACAACAGAAATTTCCACTGTATCAAGTTTTCCTTAATTATAGCGTGTAAAATGCATTAACCGCTTTAATAAGAATGTGCATACATAAAATTCGCACGTGACATTTCGTCCATATTAATATCGTCTTGAGTGTTTGTGTAATCATATGTTGATAAAAGATAATATTATTAAGCCATTGAACAAGCTACTTCAGTCATTTAATTCCAATACATTTTCTTCTCTCAGTTTACATTCAAACTCTGCGTCGAGTACATGTGTTTTTCAAAAATATCTGTTCTATAGTCAAGACGATAAAAAAGAAATGCTTTTAAACTACCCTGTTTTTTCGTTATAAGCTACTACTCGTTACTAAGCTACTAGCTTAGTAAAGTTTTTATGAACTTGAAATTTTTTTGTAATCTTTACTAAGCTACTACCAAAAATAAAGTATAATTAATCTTTTTCAACTTTCTAAGTATCAGTTTCAATGCCTTATGACATTGTCAATGAAATAAAATCGAGAAGATAGCAAAATTTCTTTAATTAAGTTAAAAAATTCAAAATTTTCATTGAAGTTCAATTTCTATACTAAGCTACTACTCGTTACTAAGCTACTAGTGAGCCAAAAAAATCACTTTTTTATTCTTCTAAGCTACTAGCGTATAACGAAAAAACAGGGTTTTGATTGTTTGTTATCGGTCGTGTTTAATTATATTAAATTTTTGTGCAATTAAAAATATTAAGAATTCAAAAACATGACAAAGAAAACATTTAAAGTAAACGACGTGTTTGCGATTACTGGTGATCAGACAAGGTAGCTAGACATTCCGGAACATTAAAGTTACTGAATGATCATGAGTGGATTATTGACAGTGAATTTACAACTCACAATAATGTCAAGCTACATCATCTATTACTTCTTATCATTTCTGTCACGTTTTTATTGCTCAATTAAACAATAAAAATATTACTTAATGATAAGTCAGTCACTGATTGAATTGTCAATTTTCTCTCACTCTCTCTCTCGTCTTTTCATCCATTGATGAATATTTTGTGTAGTGCAAGTGTGCCTTTCTTATCAGACAATGATTTCATATCAATTTGGCGCTATTCAAGGCAGTCAATCAATGACCCGAACTATTGTTAATTGAACTAATCAAATGTGTAATGATTGTTAGCTTATTAAACGTTTTTGAGCTACTTATATTATATGAGCTAGTTGCTGTTAAGCTTATTAAGCGCATTTCACTTGAGAAAAGTTCGTAAGGTCGATCGATCAAATTGTTTTCAATCTAATATATTTACAATCGCTGTGCTAAGTGTACGCAAAAAATAATAAAGATAATCATGAATTAGTTGTTGTTTGAAGGTGCTGAAAACATGCCTAAAACAACCTTGCAAGAAGACATCATTAAAATCACAATAACATTATCTATAGGAAAAAAACTGCGGTAATTCCAGGAAAGCCAGCCACAACGATAATTTAAAGAGTTAATAAAACTTCTGTTAAGCTGTTAAACGATTCCGTCAATTTCCATAACATGTCGTTCATTTCTTAATTTTACATTCTGTTGGGTTTCAGAAATTTGCATCTTAAAAATCTCAAATTACCCAATGGATGTTAAATGTGAAGATGAAATATTCAATTTAAGGAATTTCCAATCATGCATTTAATTTCAGCAACAATTCTTAATGAACAGCAGTTCAATGTTATTTAATATAATCATCACTTGCATGATCACCTGCCTCAGCAAATTCCACAATGAAAAATTGAGCATAAAATGACATATTATGGAGATGTGCAATGCAAACCACAATTTTAAGGCTGAAGCTACTAATTTATTCGTCGCACACACATATTTTTCGTAAATAATTAGCTGCATTGTCCTCCAAAAATAAATGAAGTCTTATCAGTGTGTCTTCTACGTAATTTAATTGACTATTTATGTTCCTTATACAAAGCATTGAACCACATGTGTCTCATTCTACGGCAGCTTACAAAATGAAAATATATATAAATATATTAAGTTTAAAAATAGATTTGGAATACATTTCTTTTGATATCTCATAAAACTTTAAAATGTGCTATGCTATGAGGAAATGAAGAGAAAGTAAAGTCATAGTCTGAAATTAATGAATGCATTCGGGTTTTCCCTTACACAACGTAGGGAGTCATTCGCTTTTGATGTTGATTTTGGGGGTCTTAGGGGCCGTTCACTTATTACGTTACGCAAAAAAACGACTTTTTTCACCCCCCTTGTTACAATATGTTACAACTCACAACCCCCCCCCCCCCCCTGAACGTTCATAATTTATTTTATTTTGATTATTTTTCATGAATCATTAAAAAGGTGGAAAATTTAAAAAAATGTTTGTGGTGTGAATTTGTAAACAAATTTTTTTCGTGAACTTTTTTTTAAAAGACAGACGACAGTTAGAACGTTACATACTTCTTGACACCCCCCCCCCCCCCCCCCCCCCCTATGTTACATTTTGTTACAATTTTTCAAACCCCCCTCCCCCCTAAAATCCGAACGTAATAAGTGAACGGCCCCTTAGCTAGTCATGTTTTTCATCTTAAAGTTCTATGTCATGATTTTGACTCAGAGGTGATTGATGGAGTCTAGAGAATCATAATGTCACTTGTGTACAACTCCCAATTATGTCAATGATCGCAGAATGATTTGTTCAATAAATTTGGAGTCATTCTCGAATATTTTGAAATGTTTTATTTAACAATAGGCAGGCACACATATGGTACAAGTTGTTTTTAGATTAGATTATCGGCTTGGGACAAGTACAAGGCACTTAACATTTGATAAATTTATGATGCCATTAAGTATAGTCGTTGTATCAAAATTGGACTAAAATCAACTTATTGATGCAACTTTGTAGAAAATGTCAGTGCTAGTTTTTGTAAGTGCTGCTGTTGGAATGTCATTTTGATGGTATTGGATCTTCTGAATCATTATTAGGTTGTGGCTGATTGGGTTAGTTGAAGTGGACATAGTAGTTTAGTGCTTAATCATTGCAATACCTTCATAGGGATTAACTGTACAAAACTAGGTATTGACAATATTTCACATTCTGCTTGTTTGAACCGTTTGTATTGGAAACAGAGCTCAAAACCTTCCTTTGAATGCTAGTGACAGTTAAAGAATCAAAGAAGTTCTGATTCTATTGTAAACTTAAGTTTGAGTACAATGGCTAGATGGACAAACTCTGTCATTAGCCGCGAAACAAAGTATAGAAACTAGCTAAGCTCTTTCTGGATGATTTCATAATTCAAATTCTCGTGTATTCATAAATCAGTAATCCAAAGACATTTCAGTCTTAGTCAAAAATTTATTTATTAATCTACAGATTAAATTCTCCTTTATCAGCATCCAATAAATTAAATTAATTTTACTCGAAATTCTTATGAACAGCGTGCGATGCTTTATGATGATTTATTTGACAAAGTTCGACCTAGACCTAGAATTTTCAAATTTATTAAATTATGGACATGCTCTATATTAAGCAAAAATTCATTAATTGCTAATAAATTATTTAATTTAGCAATAAAGATGTTGAGACATCAGATGAGAAGCATCGTCCCGAAAATAATTGGCGAGATCTCGTGTCATACTGGATATTTGGCTTGTGCAACAATTTTGGCTATGTTGTTATGTTAACGGCGGCACATGACATTTTGAAGGGTAAACAAAGGAATTAAGATTCGCAATAATGAAAGCTTAATTTATTTTTATTTCTATTTTTAAACAGAACTTAATGGCGAAGTAAGTTCCACAGACACAAATGCTTAAATTCATTAATTAAATGCATAATTCTTATTAGCAAGAGACACATCATGGAGGAAGTAACAGACCATGCAATATTGTTAGTACTGGTGCTATTTTACTTGCTGATATTATCCCCGGCCTGATCATCAAATTCCTTTCTCCGTTTTTACCGTTTTGGCATAGGTATTGTGTCTGTTCTATAAATATGCTTGCGAATATTTTTTTTATCGCATGCTGAATAGAAGACTTGAATTCTATATGAGATTAATTTCAGAACCCGTATCTCCATTTCTTGTGCGGCTGCTGTCGGTGGATTTGTTGTTGTCGCTTTTGCGAAAACGGAGACACTTGCTTTGACTGGTGTAGCTTTAACATCCTTTGCATCTGGTCTTGGTGAACCGACTTTCCTTGCTTATTCAGCTTTCTTCCATCACAATGTCATATCTACATGGTCGTCTGGAACTGGAGGTGATTACTTCATGTTGATTTTCTTTCTATTTCTGTTCAAAAACATTTGAATTCCAAAAGTTCCTTAAAATTCAAATTAATTTTGAAAACAACTCATTTTAAGGTGCTGGAATTGCTGGATCTCTTGCATACTCAGTCCTTCGAGCAGTAGGCTTAACCACTCAACAAACAATGCTCGTGATGATCGTTGTACCAGCATTAGAATTATTAACATTCTTCTTCCTACTTACAACACCAAAGAGTCATAATATTGAGGATCATCATGTTGGCGATAATGTTAAGGCATCAAATGATTTGCCTGCATTTACATCAACTAAAGAGAAAATATTCTACATAAAACGTTTAGTCCATTTTATGGTACCATTGTGCTTAGTCTACTTGTTTGAATATTTCATTAATCAAGGACTGTACGAGCTTGTTTACTTCCCTGACATATTCTTGGATTCTTCGGAACAATATCGATGGTATCAAGTCACATACCAAATTGGTGTTTTTATTTCTCGATCGTCTGTTAATATTATTCATATTAGACAAATTTGGGTAATGGCACTTCTGCAAGGCTTGAATGTCATCTTTTTCACTTTTGAGGCATACTACATGTTTACTCCATCAATTTGGATTATCTTTGCATTAATCGTATTTGAAGGATTGCTCGGTAAGTGGATATATTGGAAGGCTTAATTAAATCCTAGGATTAATTTTTAATCCTTTAGATTTGTTTAAATCCTGCAGGATTTAATTTAATTTAAATTAATTCCAATTACTTAATACTTTCAGGCGGTGGAAGCTACGTCAATACATTCTACAGAATGAGTAGAGAAATTCCAGCAACAAGAAGAGAATATGCTATGATGGTTGTCACATTATCAGACTCTCTTGGAATAACGCTTGCTGGATTCTTGGCAATGCCAATGCACAACTGGATGTGTGGAACGCCGGGAGGAATAAGACTTCAATAGCCTCAGAAATGAAATTTTTTGTTTTTTTACAATGTTCAGTTTTGATCACTTTCTAATACCAAAAATATTTTGTGTAGTATTAAACTTTTTTGATATTGATATTTGTTGGATATGCACAGTTCATTAAAAATATTAAATCATATCCTCTAATTAGCATTTTTTACATTATTGTCAGTTTTTATTTCCCAAAATAATAACTACCGCATGCCGCAAAATCAACAAGTTAAATAAATCAGCAACAAGTTGATTTCCAATTTTATCTTCTCGAAAAGCTAAGCATAAGTCATTTACTATTTTTATTTTGATCTATATGTCTTATTAAATGTATAATTAAGGATTAAATCAGCAACAAGTGGACCTTTTGAAGATTTTATTGTTTCCAAGCTTTCTAGAAAAGCAACAATGTTGTTAAAAGCTCGCAACGTTCACAAAACCTTTAAACTTTTCCCAGATGACTCAATTCTTTCCGCATATAGTTGTGCTAGTGTTGTTTCAATTGAAATACAGAAATTTTCAATTGTATAAAGAGCATAAAATAATAAATTATAACTTAAATTATGCTTTAATTTAGAATTTATCAACCCAAAACTAGCAATCTAAAGAATCTCCTTAATTTTTCATTTATGTTTTCATTGAATTGTCGACGAATCATCACAAAATTATGCTCTCAACATAAGATTAACATTACGTCTCAGGTAAAGCTTGTGATTTTTCCCAATTACTGTAAAGCATTGTATGATTTCAAGGGCATGTTAAACTGTATTAACACTATGTGGTTTCTTATTGGCGAAAAAAGTTTTGCTATACAGCTTTACTCGTCAGTCATAAATTAAAAAGCGGAACGATCGGTTTAGTTTGGCTAGATTATATGCTCTAAGCATAGAATTTTGTGTTTGAATCATTTTTACAAAGGAAATAAAATAGGTTTTTAGTCATCAAGCAGCTACACAACTTTGGACGAAGAATATTCAACAAAATTTTCTGGAATCTCAAAAATTAATCATGGGTGCAGGAAGTTGTAAGGCATTCTCACATAGGAGATCAAATAATGCTGTGGGCCATAATTGTGGTAAGTTAAAAACTCTTTTTCTTCTGTACTATATCGAGGTCAATGCTTCCACATTGAACAAAAACTACTCAAAAATTTTTTTTTCTTTAATTATGTTGCTTTATTGCATTTTTTAGTTACTAGAAAATATTTCGCAATTTATTGTTGCTCGGCACGGTTTTGTAAGATTTAACTTTTTTTTATGAGAAAGTTAATTAAAAATGGTAACAACAGTGTAGTTCCTTAAGTCAAATTATTTTATAAATTATAAAATTTATCTGAATTTCAACATTAAACTTAATAGCTTATAGAATTGCAAAGTGACATTGAAAAAGTTTCCCATATGACTCATGATTGTTCCAACCTGTTTTTGGCATGGAATATTAGACGCTTTGTCAACATGCTTGAAATGCAGATCGTTTGTTTGCCTTTATCAGGAACGCTTTCTCGTAGGGCAACTTGACCATTGACAAATGTTAATAAAGTCAACAAATCCAGTTCATTAGCATACTTATTTAATTCAGTACATAAATCTTGAATGAACCACGAACCATTCTGTTTATTTCGGAATGACACGTAATTTGGCATTGTTGATCTGACAATTAGGAAATCAGGGTGATTTGGAGGGTTGTGCACCATTTCTGTTTCATAAAGTGCAGAATGCATTAATCCAGTCGCAGTTACATCAACATCTTCATATGATCCCATATTAACCCTTCTCAGCCTATAATTTGACGAGTTTTGCATATCATAACCATAATCAAACTGACCTCCACGACATGCTTGAATGAGAAAGACTTTTGGCTTTCCTCTCAATGATGGGCAATTTTCATCAGTGAAGAATGATGTGATTAAGCTTATGTGATAAGAATCATCTCTGCTGAATATTCTGTTAAGTTGTCCATGAGATAAAATTGCGATTAAGATGCAGTCACTTTTTGAGTAATCCATTGATGAAACTGAGAGGGAATGAGAATGAGATTAGGTTAGAATGGATTAGAAGATGGTTGTTTAAAGATTGCTTATAAGTCAATATAATAGGAGATTAGCTTCTATTATCTAAATGCATGATCCCAATCGAGACTTAATCCATGATTAATCGTCCCACATATCATTTAATTGGATATTCCAACAATATTCAGAGATTTCGCTCATCTTAGGTCAATGACCTTTGAGACATTAGAAAAAATAAAGTTCCTTAGCTTTTGCCTTAAACTTCAACTTAAATCAAGACTTTACTAGATTCTTTCCTAAAAATTTCAAATTGAAATCAAATTTAAAGCTATTAAACTAGCAATTTAAAGCTTCTTCTGTATCTTCAATTATTCAAAACTCATTCATATTCAATCTGAATACCAATCGAATGCAGAACTTGCAGTCTAGTCAACTGCGTATGAAGTAGTCTTGAAACGTTTAACAAAATTATAGACTTCATGATGAACTACATAACTCAAATGCATAACACACATCAGGTGCTATAGAAATTTTCCAATTAATCAATGTTTGACATAGTTTGCATGCATCAAAAAAGCGATGAACATAGAAATATCGTGTTGGTGGAATTTTGAGTCTTACCTTTTCTGAGACTTTTGATCAATTCATCTTTGTTTAAGTCACTAAAATACAGCACTTTAAAATCTAGTCGTTCAAGTGATTTTATGAGTGAATCAAGGTCAACATCTGTTCCGTCACGTTTTTGAAATCCCGTATTATTAGCAAAATATTCCTGATTGTAAATCACAGCAATTCCTCTGTTCTCATGATTCATGTTATATTCATACTCAACATTAATTTTCGGAAGTACAAGTCGCGGATATTCATTAATATGATAAATATTCTGTCTGTTCGAATTCCTTCGAAATGCATTCCTTATCCGATTTGTCCATCGACGGAATCTCCTTGACATTCTTCCATCTGTTGAGTCTGTGCATGAGTTGTGAAATAGATTGATAAAAATGTCAAAAATTCTTCGAAACGGCCAACATACAGATGCTAATAAGTTTCTTTCAACAGGCATGCTATTGTTGTTGTTGGTTCCTCGTCTAAAAATGAAGAAGACAAGAATTTTATTATCAAAGGAATTTTTGGCACAAGAAATTGATTGCGTACTGCTGGATGTATGCTTTTTTTGAGTCTTTCTCGTCCATCATGTACTTCTTATTGATCTTTTAATGTATCTTAATTGTGGATTAGCAATGAATATAACAAGAAATTAAAAAAATAATTAAGCACCAAGATATTTTAAGTCGACCGCGACTTGCGCAGACTAAATTTGCTTAAATCTCTGCAGATCGACTCTCTAAATGCTTTTGCTCGAACGATCTGTTCTCTTCCATTCTCAAGATATTCTCACACTTTTCTTCAGTATATCCGATATTCGATTGTGTATGTATGAAATGGAAAGGTTTTGTTTCTATCTGTTTCTGAAAAATATTTGAGCAGCAACATGTGATCGTTTTTTTGAGAGTGGAAGAGAACATGTGTATTCGGGTGTGTTGTGCTTCTTAGCCGAAGGTGTTTGCTCTTATTCTTATGGATATGAAGAGATCTTTCGTAACAAAAAGTGTTATTTGACTTGCTTATTATTCCTTTGATGCCGGTTATCATGAGACTGACGAATTAATGAGCACGAAATATAGTTTGAGTTTCTTATCGGTGAAAAAACCGCGACATCAAAAAATGGGAAGAACGATAATTAATGTTCTTATCATTAGTCATTCTCGTTATTTATCAAATTAGTCATAAGAATTGAAAAGAAAAGCGAATTAAATGAAGAGTCATGGTGCGTTTTCTAATCGAGGCTATAAGATACGGTTTGATGGATTTTAGTAAGAAATAAATATTTTGAATTTGTGGATTAGTTGGAATCAATAAAAAGTGTTGCTGAAGAAGGAATGGAAGTTTGAGTTTTGAAAGAAAAATTTGTAGTGACGAAGCCTTACATGATACCTACAATATTAAAAGGAAAGAATTTGGAAACTTCTTATACTTTGGGCGTAACCAAAAGCTTTAGACGGTTCCAATTTTTTTCTGGCTACACTCTTGCTTAATAAACTGTTATCCCGTAGAAGAATTCCGATAATTTTCAATTACATCTTCACAACAGTTTACTGCAAAAAGCTTCCAAAAACAACGAAAGAACATCAATAAAATCATTTTTGTGCTGATTCATTCTAATTCAAAGCACTGAATTCCAGTTCTTTAAAATCTTCGAAAATTTGGACAACGATTGATTATTCAACAAAAAGTTTGAGGTAAAAATATTGCTGCTTAATAGAAACATTACATCAAGTGACAAAATGAAGATCTAATGGCCTTGGGAAGTCACAAGAACAAGTTCTTAATCTACATTTAAACTGAAATCATTGCTTAGAATTTAAAGCTTCTCATAAATGACATTGAATAAATCTATTGAACTCTACTTTTTGTTCAAACCATGACGCTTGCGGTTAACCAAAGCATCTGAAATCAGCTTCCGAGATTTCTGTGCTTATCAATGCTGTTTCTCGTGGGAAAAATGTGCAACGCATTACAAAATATTATTCATGTTGAAGTAAAATCAATCAGAACTGTCATTGTGTTGGATTATGAAGCATTAAAAATTGACTATTTACAATTGTTTAACTGCTATCTGTAGCTTATCATAGCAGTTAATATTTCATAACATAGATAATAACATAAAGTCTATCCTCACCGAATAGAAATTTTTCTATGTAGTTTTCCGTCGTGTAGCCGAAGTTGATTGTTGTTGCCATAATGTTCCAATTGAAATCCTATAAAACATTTACGTCGATGACGTAATACGATATTCTCTGTAATTAAGTCTGAACGTTTGAAGGAAAACAGTCTCAGTTTTGTTTTGGGTTTTGGATGTGAAGGAAGCATTAATCTGTACAGAAATGTTTGGTTTATTTGGTATGAGAAAAAATTGTGGAAATAATTAAGAGAATTTTAAACTTAATTCCTGCATAATTCAGGCAAATCAGATGAATATGTCGAGCAAGTCGTCTGCAATGAGAATGACATCGGTGAAAATGAAATGAAGAATTTTGATCTTGGCGACTCAAAGGTGCTGATTGTTAAACAAAATGGAAAAATATCAGCAGTCGGTGCCAAGTGCAGTCATTATGGAGCTTTACTCTCGACTGGTGCATTAGGTGATGGAAGGATTAGATGTCCATGGTAAGGATCAAAAGCTTATTAGATTCTAGAAAAAAAAATTATTGATTTTTAAATTTATTCAGGCACGGAGCTTGCTTTAGTTTAGCAAATGGTGATATTGAAGACTTTCCAGGACCAGATCCAATTCCATGTTATCAAGTTAAGATTGAACAAGGTCAAGTTAAAGTTCGTGCTAAGAAATCTGAGCTTCAATCAAACAAAAGAACTCATGTCATGGCAAAACGTCAAGAAAATGATTTCAGGACATACATAGTCGTTGGTGGAGGTCCAAGTGGTGCTATTTGTGCTGAAAATCTACGAGCAAAAGGGTTCACTGGACGAATTGTCATGATTACTAATGAATCTGTCCTTCCATATGATAGACCAAAATTGAGTAAAATTATGGATGCTAATGCTGATTCCGTCCTGCTTAGAACTCAACAATTTTATGATGACAATAGCATCGAAGTTATGTTAAGCACATCAGCTTCTTCATTAGATGCAGAGAATAAGGAAATTTTGCTCTCAAATGGCTACAAAATTAAGTATGACAAGATTTATATAGCTACAGGAGCTTCAGCCAGAAAATGTAAGGATTCTAAAATTAATCCAAAATGTAACTTAATTAAATTTGCAATTTCTTTTTAGTAAGCATTCCTGGATCCGATTTGAAGAATATTTTCGTGCTAAGAAGCATTGAGGATGCTCATGCCATTGATGAACAATTAGGAGAGGAGACTCATGTTGCTATTCTTGGTGTAAGTTTCATTGGAATGGAAGCAGCAGCATATTGTGTAAAGAAAGTTGAAAAAGTGACAGTAATTGGACGTGATGCATATCCGTTGCGTGCCTTTGGACAAGAAGTTGGAGAAAGACTTATGGAATATTTTGAGGAAAAGGATGTAAACTTTATGATGAATAATGGAATTAAAGAAATTGTTGGAAATGATGATGGAACTATAAAGTCATTAAAAATGTTTGATGGAAGTGAATTAAAAGCAGATGTGCTCATTATGGGCGTTGGAACGACATTCAATACAGAATTCTTAAAGAATAGTGGAATTGCCATCAACAGTAATGGATCAATTGACACAAATAAATATCTTGAGACAAACATTCCAGACGTTTATGTAGGCGGTGATATTGCAAATGCACCATTGCTTAATACAGAACATCGTGAAGCAATTGGACATTATGGTTTAGCTCAATATCATGGAAAGATTGCAGCAATGAATATGTGTGGGATGAAGGAAGAACTCAAGACTGTTCCTTACTTCTGGACAATGTTGTTTGGTAAATCAATTCGTTATGCTGGCCATGGAAGAGCCAGTGAGATTAAAATTGAAGGTGACTTAGAAGAAATGCAGTTTGTCGTGTTCTACATGAATAATGAAGGTAAAGTCATCGCAATGGCATCATGTTCACGTGATCCTATCGTTTCTCAATTTGCTGAATATACATCAATGGGCAAAATACTCACAAAAGCAGACATTGAAAGCGATCCATTTGGATGGACCAAAAAGATGCATGAATAATATGAAAGCATAAGATATTAATGCCTTTGTGGTATTTTGCGAATTACAATTTACTCAAATTTTTAATGACTTTATACATGTTGTGATGTACACAAATTTATACTTTCCAGTAAAGTTATTTACACATAAAATAAATACAATAAAGTACGAACCAATCCTACAATCTTAAATGCACAAGAATTAAAAAATTTCTATAAACCTTAATTTCGAACTTAATGTACAAATGCTGATTACTTTTCATTTAATAAAAATTCAGAGAAATAAGTGAACAAAGTTTTTGCTTAACCGGCTAATGCCTCGAGTGAAAATTGTCGAAATAATTTTACACATCAAAGTTGATTTCGTACTCAGAAATTACACATGTCAGAGAAAGCACTTAACATGACTTCATGATTTACTTTAGAAGTAATTAATTCTTGATATTCAGAACTAGTGGGACATTGATTAGGTTTATAGGACCTAAGATGACACAAGACTCAATACAATTAGGGGAATTTATAATGGCAAGTATTATAACTTTCAATAGTGATTAGGAACCTTAAAAAGTTGTGGCACTACTGTCAACTACAGCAATCACGAGTTTGAAGATAGGGGTGGGTTTCTAAGGGTAGTCAGTACAACTTATCCTGGTCACAGTCCAATTTTAGTCATGCACTAGAACAGTGTTTCTCAAACTATGTGCCACGACACACTAGTTTGTATTCAGGTTATGCCGCGAAAATTTTTATATTAAAAATATGTGCCGTGGACCAAAAACGTTTGAGAATCACTGCTCTAGAATTAAGTGCACTAATTATTAGTACTTGAAACAAATCCTAGAAGCTCTTATTTTCCATGCCACAAACCGTAAATTTGTCATAAGCTTGAATTTAAGTGTTTGAGCCAGTCCAGTGAAATTTTAAAATTTGGTTCTTTTCTATACATTTTGCGAATTACATTTTAAAGGTTTATGAAGACTCGAAGTGTGTCGTGGGACATAGATTGAGAAGCACTGATCAAAAATGACAAAAACTGTATTTTTGTATAAAAATCGTTTCTTTAGAATCAAATCTAAAATCTTAATTAAATTTAAAAAAAAATTCCAAGATTAAAAATGAATTAAAAAGCCATTCGAAGCAGTAATACAAAATCTCGCTCAGCACATGAGAGCACACTGGGAGCAATAACAACACTCGTTAATCTCTTCTCTCAGCATTACATACACAAATTTCCACTCTCTCACATTTCCATTTTCCAAGTTTATTTCGTCTCAGAATTTCAATCGACAAAGTCGTGTGTATGCTTTCGCTCGTTCCGTAAACCGGGAATCACAAAAAAAAGAATTGCTGAAAAAATTATTTTGAAAGTGCAAAAAAGTTTAAAATTGTTTAAAAATTATTTTTTACATGTGCTATTGCTGATGAGTTGGATGTAAAGAGCAGTGAGATTCACTAGTTCTATAAGTGATTTTAATTCAATGACCTTAAACCGGCTCTAAAATTTGACTCAAATGTAAGAAAATAAAGAGAAAGATCTGAATAGAAAAAAAAATAACAAAAGAAAGAAAAGAAGTGAAGAACTAAGGAAGGGAATTTATTTCGATTATTTTTTTTGCGTTTCTTGTAAAGAAACTCTCAATTTACGTTGTTGTGGATCAAAAGAGAATTTCTTGTGGATTATTTTTGTGCATGAAAAAAAATTTATTTTCCTTTTGGAATTTTTGTGGAAAAGATTTTTCACGGTGAGTCTAGTTAAAAATTTTTTTGGGTGAAATTTCATCTCATTTTTTAAAAACAAAAAAAAAGTGTTGGCTGCTCTCTCGCAAAAAAATATAATCGTACATATAAACAAATCTCCCTATATACATAAAACGTCGTGCACGTAAACACAGAAAATTTTTCTTTTATTTTTCCATACACACAACAAAGCTAGAGCGGCTGAGGAAAAATCAATAACTTTTTTTTTTCTTCTTGCATTTTTCTATGTTTTTTTTTTTGTTGGAGATGCTGTGTTTTGGATAGGGATGACTGCTTTAAAAATAGAATAGGGAAAGCAGGGAGAATCTACAGAGGCAAAGCAAGGATTTTTATCGATCGTAGCTAAGTCGTCATTTTGACACTCCTTTGGATGAGATTCTTTTATAGCTGAAGCCCCGATTGAACCTCCTTGCTCCCCCTCTGAACACAAAAATAATGAAAATTCTCTCATTTGGATTTTTTTTTTCATGTCATGTCCTTACTCAAGATATTTCTCATTTCACGGATAATGGATTAAATTTGTCTTTGTTCTGTCGATGTGTGGATTCATGCCAATCTTGTTGACAAAAGTGAAATCGTTGTTTTTTAAAATGAAATAATAAAATCAGTGACTTGCGTACATAATTTATTTGTTGATAGATTTTGGCGCATGATTTACATCAGGTTTAAACTTTTTAAAACATATTCACGTCTATAAAAGACAATGAGGATTTAAAGATGTACGTGGAATTTGTGGTAACTTCCTGATTATCAGTTATTGCATCACTCTGCGAGACACACCCTTGGAAATACAAAATATTACTAATTCTCAATAACTTCGTAATCCGTTTAACGCTCGTCGTTCTATCCCTCGTTATTATAATGCTCCTATTGCCAATAGAAAGAAGTTATGAGTTACTTAAACAATTTGACTGTCTTTCTTTATAATGTGGGTTTGACTTTATATTCATTAAAATAGTTTATAGCTCATATTATGTACACAAATGTAATTAAATTAGTTTTTATCAGTTGTTATCATGATGTCTGCATTATTCACGTGTTAAAGTATTAAAGAAGATCCCAATTGATCTGAAAATTCCAATGTGATTGAAAACATCACATACCAAATGTTTAATAAAGTAAAGGAGTGTAAGAATAAGATTGTATGTGAGGAATGTGGATTGAAATAATAATTCAAGGTTAACCTTCATCTTTCCGTGTATGAGGTCAAAGATTGTTATGCAAATTTTTAAGGAATGCTTAAAGTATCTTTTGTAGTATTGAATTACTAGCTACTATCTTTTTTATCTTCTTAAAAATTGACCTGGGTCAGGATATTCGAATGAATCGTTAGCTTTAACTTAAAGATGTATTAAGGAGATTAAACATTTAAAATAAATAAATTAAGATTCGGGAGGCGTAGGCTGAAATTGAGATTAGGGGCCGTTCACTTATTACGTTCGCATTTTAGGGGGTCAGGAAAAAAATTTGAATTATGAACGTTCAGGGGGGGGGGGGGGTTGTGAGTTGTAACATGTTGTAACAAGGGGGGGAGAGGGGTGAAAAAAAGTCGGTTTTTTGCATAACATAATAAGTGAACGGCCCCTTATTTAATGCCATCGTCACTGCTATCTACAATTGGATATTATACTCTATAGATATGTTCTACGGCAGGTTTTGTTTTAAGTTTATCTATACTTTATTATTTTTTTTACAAGTTTATGAGTCATGGACATACATGAATCATAGTTCACATGAGTCATGAGTCCATGAGTAATGATAACGTAAGATGACACCTTTGGGTGTCATCTTACAGTTATCAATTATAGATTCAGACTATAAATAGCATGTTAGATTTAAGAACAGTACAGTTTAACTTTAACTTTTATACGATACAGTTATCAATTAACTTTAATAATAAACAGTTCAATAAAAATATTTAAATGTAAAAACCAAGTGATTTAAATACAAAAAACAAGTGGTCCTTCGATAAAGTGAATCTATCTTAAAATTTTGACGGTAAAGTAAATTCTCGCGGCCGGAGGATTTACTGAAGAGCTGTCTACACTTATCCCGGAAAAGATTAGCAAAGTTGCAGACGATTAATTGAAGTATCATCATGGCAGACCAATTTACCAAACAAACAGAATTGATGGATTACCAACAGTCTCTCATCCAAGAATTTGAGGTTCAATTCCTAAAATTAACCTCGGAAAAGAAGGAAAAGAAGGGCAAGATAGAAGTGTTGAGACACTATGAGAGAAATCGGCGAGAATCCTGGAATTGCATCGTTAAGAACCATAGGAAACTAACAAAATATCCTGACTTACCAGATGTTTACACGGATTCTTTTAATTCATTGATACAGACTAATGAGGACTTCAAAAATCGGTTAATGGCATATGCTAGGGAAAACTCGCTAAGTTTGGAAGTTATTGAAGATAAAAATCTTGATACCTCGGATGAAGAAGAGAGTGAAGAAATTGAGGACGAAAAATCGATCCACATTTATACACCCTCGACATCTGACGGAAAATCAAAACATACTTCCAAGAAAGGTGAACTCATTTCACCATCCGATCATAAGGGGGAAGATGTGTCACGTCCGGATAATATAAGTGAACAGAAAAGCCCACCAAAAAAGACTGGACTCAACCAGCAGCAAACCTATGTTCCAGAAAATTCTGAGGACTTTAAGCGAAATCAAAATGTTCCGGCAACTTCCGGAAACTTTCTGCAGAATCAAAATAATGCGCGTTTTACAATCCATGATTCATCAAGTGAATCAAGCTTAAATCAATCATATGTTCCAGTCAATACTGGCGACTTCAATCAAGCAGCAAATAATAGGCTACATAACAATCAAAGCACCAATCAAGGAATCTCAAATCAACAGATTCCAGTGGATCCTGGTACCTTTAATCAACCAACTCATGGTAACCAAGCCACTAATGTTCAGACATCAGATGGACCAAGTTCATCCAACAGTCCACCAAATCAAGAAGCTGGAATTGGAAGTGCAATGAGTGCGATTGTGCAACTTGTCAGCAAACAATTCGAATTAATCCAAAACCAGCAAGAGACTCAAGTCAATACAAGCACTTTGATACAGGAGCAATTTCAGGCCTTTCAAAACCAAATCGCAAAAAATAATGCCGAAAAAAGCTCACTAAAACCGCAACAACTTGAAATTCCGACGTTCAAGGGAGATATCTTGGAATACAAATCCTTCAAAGAAATTTTTCAAAAGGCCATCTCCAAGGTCAAATGGAGCGACCTAGAAAAATTATTATTGCTTCAAAGCAAGTTAAGTGGCAGAGCTCTGGAGAGAGTCAAGCATTTAGCCACTGAAGAGCAAAATTACAGCGTGATGTGGAGCATTTTGGACAAAGAGTTCCTGATAACCAGAGCTTTAGTACAACATAACGTGTCCAAGCTCCTGCAAATTCAACCTGTGAAAGCAAATGACGTGCAAGCAATGAGACAATTTTACTCTACATTGAATACTGTTGTCACAAATTTAACACAACTAACCGATGTACAACCAGCTGAATGGCTGTTTGAAATTGGATACATGCAGGTAGAAAGTCAGATAAAACGGCGTTATGAAGATTTTTTAAGAGCTAAAGAATTGAGAGCAAACGTTGAGACGATAACAGAATTTCTAATGGCCGAGTGCAATCTCGCAGAGGGACAAAGTGGCATAAAAACTGCAGTCACTCATAAAATTAAAGATAATTCATATGACAACAGCAACAACAATAAAAATAAACAAAACAAATCAACGCGTGCTCATGTTACAGTGAACAATGAGAATACCGTGCCTCCAAATAACATTGACCCAGAGAAAAAATGCTTTATATGCAAAATGAGTCACTTGGTCAACATGTGTCCGACTTTAATGGCGAATGAAAATCGGGAGAAATTACTACGTCATTATAAGATCTGCATTTATTGTTTGAAGCATAAATTCAACTTTAGAAATCCATGTCGATCAAAAGATACAGTGAAATGTGAGAAATGCAATTTAAATCATCATACTGTTTTGCATCCAATCAACAATAATGCGTCAAATACATTTGTTACCAACCACCAGGAATGCCAAGAATTCAGTCACATAGCTCAACAAGCAGAGACACATGGATTCGTCACAAAAAATGGAGATACTTGCACCATTTTGCCGACGGCAATCGCTAATATTTTGGATAAAAATGGAATGTCTATTCCAATTGCCTGTCTTATTGACAATTGTGCAGAAAGAACTTACGTATCTGAGGATATAGTGCAAAAATTAGGACTTCGCAAGTATAAGACAAATATTATCATCAAAGGAATTAATGACATTCTTGACACAGCGAAATCGTACGTTAATTTAAGCATAAAATTGGACGATCCAAAAATTGGAGTCATTACCACCCAAGCTTTGGTTGTAACCAAAATTGCAAGCAATATTCCAACACTGGAAATTGATATGAATATGTTTGGCGATAAGAAAATGGCAAATCCTCTTTTGGGCAAATCATGCTCAGTTGGAATTCTGATGGGCAGTGATGTCTTGCCACAAATTTTTAAGGCCGGAGGGGGTACGGAAATCACAAAAAGCGGCTTACTTTTACAAGATACGCATTTAGGATGGATTGTAAGCGGGAAAAATTCTCGACCTCAAAAAATTGTAAGCTCATTTGTAACCTACAACGAATCAGCCTTAAAATGCTTAAGTGATGACAAAATTAATGAGAGAATATTGAAATTTTTTGAAGTCCCAGAAGAAATTGAGGAGTGTGACGATGATGAGGCAAAATATTGCGAAGAATTGTTCGAAAAGAAGCATTATAGGACAGAAGATGGAAGATATGTTGTTCCAATGATATGGAAACCAAATCCAGTGCCATTAGGCCACTCATATCGGAAGACTTTGAGATTTTTCTTATGGCAGGAGCAAAAATGGAACAAGGATCCTGAACATCAACAATTAAATGCTTCATTTATGAGGGAATATCTCTCA